TATATATATATATATATATATATATATATATATATATATATATATATTTATACGATATAACGCGGCTTGTCATCACGATAACGTTTTCAATTTATAACCGATTCTTTTCAAACTCAACATCCTTCATCTATCGATCAAGACCAAGGTTAAGTTCGAAGATGAGCTTAATTGGGCGAGTAAATTGGAAATGACAGGATTTCGAAATTTTGAAAATCGTAATAATTGATGTTTTTACTACTTCAACTTGGTATAATTACTGAAGTATACAAGATATCAAAATTCTGTAAAATGCATCGTAAAACTCTTTTAATAAGCTTCAATTTTCACTACTCAGAAGTGGTAATAGCCTAAATATTACTCCTTTTAGAGTTCGTTTAATGAAACAGTTTTACTGTTGCAGCCGTTTTAGTTTTTTTTTTCTTTTTGTATACTATCCTAGTAGTTTTTTCTCTATTCATCATGAAATCTACTCTCATTTCGGCTGCCGAATGGCCATTTTTTAATAATTATAAATAAATCGTTATTTAAACGTCAATTCTTTAAAAATTATTAAGTAAATACTTGTTAAATGAATGATTGTTTATCGAATAAATAATGCTATTTGCGTAATAAATTTTTATTACATTCATGACCCTTACGCTCAATTCTAATTATATAATTGATCTATCTTATTTTAACGTATTTGACCTAAGAATTTTGCACTTTGCTTTGAACTTAATAATAAATAAAAATAAATTTTATTCATAAAATAATATAATTCGAAAAAAAAATCATAAAATTTTTTTTTAATTTTTGGAAAAAAATTTACTGTTTTATTTGGTTAAAATTTTAAAGATTAAAACGTTAGGCTTAAAAGTTATTAAATGAGTCAAATTTAGAAAATCGAATGTTGGTGGGTATCTTTTTCAAACTGATAACTCATTTGATTAATTTACACAGAAAGAAACCAAAACTAAAAATTTCCATGCTAACATCTTAACAATTTACATTAAAAATATTCATAGCTTTTAAGCTATATTTGTTGTTACTTTTATTTGATACATTGAATGGTAAATGATAAACAATCATAATACTTTTACTTAGGTAAGAGACTGTCATTATTTTAAATATTGTTATAGGTCATGGTGACTTTATGACGGGAATGACAATTTTTAGACCGAAATAATATGATTTCTGTTGTCTAATCAATCATATTTCTCTTGAATATTTTTTACTCTCCTTTTAATCTACAAGAACAATGTAATCGCCGGAATAAATTTTTATAAGTATATAAATTGAACATTTACAATCAAATAAATTGAATGACATGGTAAATACAACAGAAACGGAATCTTAAATTAGGTAAATGCACGGCTTTTTTATAACTGATGAAATACGAGCGATGAACTAACTTTTTTGACTCCAAAAAAATTAGTTTCTGTGAATTTATATATTTTTTGAACATTATTGCTCATATTCAATCACGATAATAATAAGCCAATTCCTTTTAAACATAATTTTTTAACATTATTAATTTTTTTAATTAGTGGTATATTAAAGGAATTAAAAGATAATACTCAATATAGAAGTTACACATCTATTTTTCCTTTTATTACATTTAATCCCTTCACCAAATCCTATTACATTCTTTTAAGTTTAAATATCAAGACTAAATATATTATTGATGATCCAAAGATTTTTGCTTTTTTCTGTCTTTAAGTCGTTTCTGGATAGCAAAATTATTTATTTAATTTAGCAGTGACTTTTATTTCATCCAACTGAAACAAATTAATTGATCATTACTTTCTTCCGGGTTATGTATTACAATTATCAAAAGATTGTTAATTTCTGGTTTATTGATTATTTTACTAGAATAAAAAAAAATAATTAATAGTCCATACTTGTACGTAAGAAGGCATCGAGAGTACAAAAACGACACCACCAGCAATATCGCTGCTTTTTAAGTTGGGAAATTTTGATTTAACTTTATTGAACAATGCCGAGTCACCAAATATTTCTGTTGACGTAAGTCCTACATGGATGCTCTAGAGAACAAAAATTATAAAATTATGAAGTTGGAAAATATTTCTTCTCTATGTAATTTAAACGAAAAATGGAAAATTTCGATTTGTGAAAAAATAAAATTTGTCGGTTTTTCTTTGTTACCCTTAATATCAATATATAATTTTTGATCTGTTTAAATATAGCCTGATATACCGACATATAATTGTTTTATCAAAAATAGTATTGAAAATTTTCGATAGGTGACACATCATTGCAGAATCGTCTCCTTACTAGAGTTAAGTCTGAGATATCAAGTTAAAACATAAAAATTCAATCTTTGTATAAAATTAATTGTGAATGAGCTTCGAAGATTAAATTAAAAGAAAATATTAATATAAATTAATAACGGTAAAATCTTACAGTAACTCGAATTGAAGTAACTTTAGAAAATTCTAGTTCAGCTTTAAAGGTATCGGTCATGCCTCGCAATGCAAATTTGCTGGCTGGGTAAACATTAATCGGCAGTTGCGTTGTTCCGTTAATACCAAACGTGCTAAAAATAAAAAATTATTAAATTAAACAACCGATAACGTATATTTATAGGAATCAATAATAAAATTGTTAATTACCTATTAATGTTAATAATATGAGCCTCATTTTTGTGTTGACGCATTATTTTTAGAGCTTCCCGCATAAAAACCCAAGTGGAGAGACGCGATGCCAAAAACGATCCGTCGCTCTGAACGCGGAGACGGGGTCGTTTTTTCGAAAAAAACGACCCGAGTCCAGAACGTGAGATAAGCAACGCTAGATGAAAAAATGTAGATTTAGATGTACTTTATTAATATAAGAATTATTTTTAGGGGATTTAGATAAGGTTTGCTATTATTTAATGAACAATTAATATGATTAATAAGAATAAATAAAGAAAAATACTAAAGAAAAAATTTTTACGGGGAAATGTATAGTATGTGTTTGCTTAAACCGCAGAAGAGAGGAATAGGCTTCTTACCGACTGCAAAATTATAAGTTGAAAATTAAAGAGATGTCGCTACATGAATGTTTTTAATTTTTGAAAACGAAGTCAGATCCGTAAGATTGAGGACGCATTTTAATTAAACTAGCTTTTTCTAAATATTGGATAGAAATTGAAAAATTAAATTACAGAGATTGAAGGTATCAACTCGAAGAAAAAAATCATCCTTTAAATAATATTTGAACATTCAAAAATCACAGGCATATTTTTTTACTGTACTACAGTAAAAAATGAATGCATAAAAATTTGGAAAAAAGCAACTGAAAATCAAAAATGTTTAACTTAAATGATTTATAATTTGTTGTGAACGTCTCTTTTTACACATTTTTGGTGAAGCAATATTATTCCCATACTTATATAAATATAATAAAATTTTTAATTTTTACATTAATTAAATCAAATGTAAATGTATTACTTTCTTCAGAATAATTTTTTTTTTTAAATAAATGTTAAGACAATTTTATTTGGAGCATTAATAAAGTGAAATAATAATTTATTTCATTCAAAAATTTTGAAAATTTTTTGTTTTGTAAGGATTTAGATTGGTTGTCAATTTTTTAAGAAGTGGAAAATTGTGCTAGTACTTCAAAAAAAGAAAACATCCGCTGACAAGTTTGCATTGAAAATTACAAAAAATTGAAGTGCGAGTGATTTCAGTCGGATGTTTGCCAAAAAAATTATTTTATGCGTTTATTAACGAAATTTTTAATGTTCTGGTATTCATGCTAATTTATTTACATATTTGTAGTGGAAAGATTAACATTCCCATATAATTTTATAAATCGAGTTAAGTTTTATAAAACGATGATTTTCAATTTTTACATCCATTGTATTAAACTTAAATTTATTGCTTCCTTTTTAGTAATTTTTTTATCATTTAATTTATAAAATTTTTTCTTAAAACATAAAAAAGTGAATAAAAATAATTTATTTCTTCTAAGAATTTGAAAAATCATCCGTTTTAAAAGGTTTTAAGTTGATCATTAATTCTTATAGAAGTGGAAAATTATACTAGTACGTCGAAGAAATAAAAACATCAGCAAACAAATAATAGGTAAGTCAAAGATTAATTTTTATTTTCTATTTGTTCAACAGTTATAAAATATTATACGTAAATATTCAACAAATACTCTATGTAATAAAATATATTATTCTATCTAAAAGACTAATTACACATCTCTCGCTGGGTTGCTTTTAGTTATGATTTTTTTTTTATTTTTGCTTTCTTTAATTTGAATTTATCTTATTCTCGATGACATTCGTCGATTAGAGTACCGCTAATCCACTTTTTTATTTGTTTCAGTTTGGGGTATCTCTTGTCACCTTCTTTCAATACATTGTTTCGCATTTTTTCACATTTCAAACATAAATCTGTAAAAATTAGAATAAATATTGTGTTTATTAATTTTAATTATAATCTTGGTTTAGATTTGTGACAAAAAATTCAAAGATTTACCTCGTATTTCTGTGACTTCCTGATCACTTATTAGGATTTTTACACCTGGGGCGCTTTTATCAAAGCCCAACTGCAATCTTATACCCTTATCAGGCCACCTCATTTTTACTAGCAATTTGGCTCTTTTTGACATTTCTTCCCGGCATATGGCTTTGGCGAAGTTGCTAGTGCTAACTTTCAAATTTGGTAGTACTTTTATCTGTAAATAAAATCCGATCATTCAAATATTTTCGAAAAATGTCATTGATATTGAAAGTTTTACCTTTACAATCGTATTTTTATCGTTAAGTAGTTACCTCGTTTGTTTTCGGGTCTGGAGCCGGTAAGTCATAACTCGGTAGTTCTTCACTAGTATGCGACTCCATCATCTCGCAGACATTAGAATTTGTAGTCATTACTTGTTGTTGCAAATCCTCCACTAAATTGTTTAAGCCATTATTTTTCTCCAAATCGTCGATGGAATCTTTCAATGATTTTATTATTTCGGCTTGAATTAAACATTTGCCGTTTAATTCATTTATTTCAGAACGCAAAGCCCAACTTTTTGCGTGAAAATTTTCAATTTTTGAAACGTCTGCAAATACCGATTTAATTATTTTGTTTGTAAATACCTGCGGAAATTAATAATTATCTTATGAGATCGAATTTTTTGAATGGTTATTTGTTTGAGACTGAAATAGCCTTGCTGATTGAACATTTCTGGGATTTCTGAAATCCACCTAAAATATTTCTGAAATATACGACGAAGACAGAGAAATTAAATTTTTTTTTTTTTTTTGAAGAATGACTAATTTCTAGGCTCAAAATTTTATTCTCTTCATTCAAGAACATCATTTTCTCTAAAATCGTATTCTTAGCTTAAGATTATTAATCTTCATAAAATCTCGTATCATACTCGAAAACAATTTGTTCTCACTGGATATCTTTTTTTATACTATTATTTTAAATACAATTTCTACATATTTTACGGAATTGACAATCAATATCCTTGTGATCATTGAAACATTGAAACAACCAAATTTATTTTTGACATTATTTTTCGTGCTATCTTTTTTACCGGATGAATTACCGTCCTACGTATATTTTGACAAAAAAGAGCTACCAGGGAGTTAGTGAGTTATAAAAAAAGCAACAAACAGATTGTTCTAAGCTTAGACAAATGCATCCTTAAATTTTGATTGATTTACAATTATTTATTAATGACAAAACTGAAATAATATGATAATCATGTATAAGTTAATTTTTGCTTGAAAAAAATAATTTGCTGCTGCAAAATTTTAATTATTCACGATCTTATAAAATGGTATGGTTAGAAAAATTACTTAAACTTTGTTAAATTCAAGAAAATTTAAAAAATTTTTTTGAAGATATTGAAAAAAAAACTGATTGCAAGCTTTTATATTATTCAATTTCTTAGTTTTAAAAATTTTTTTATGATGAATTATAATAAATATTTCTAAGAAAAAAAAACACAATGTTGACAGGTTTAGTGAGGTTTTAATTAAGCTTCATATGAATATCTACTTATATAATAATAAATAGATAATGAAGGTAAGGTAAAAGACCTAGTTATTGACACTGGGCTAGTTATTGACACTTGCAATTTTATTTAAATTAAATAAAATAAATCGACTCTAAGAAATTAATAAATATAGTCTTTGAGATAATTGGTTCTTTGAGAAAATTTTGTTGATAATTTTTTTAATTAGGAAAAATTTGCAAGTATCAATCAACTAGACCAGTGTCAATAACTGGGTCTTTTGTCTTCAATCTCAAGTTTTTCATATGTTAATAAATTAAACTTTGTTAAATTCAAGATAATGAAAAAAAATTCTTTTAAAGTATTGAAAAATAAGTGATTACAAGCTTTTGTTATGTAAAGAAATTTTTCTTTACATATTTATTAATTATAAAAAATCGAGTATAATTTTATTTAAATTTTAACGATTGTAAAAGATAATTCGAGTGTGGTCATTAAGTGTCTCGTTCGATCTTTGCAAAAGGCCCAGGGAAATTCCCGTAATTAGTCTGAGGGCCCAGGTATTTTAAAGAGATTAAATAGATAAATGGGAGTTTTGTTATACGTAAGCAAACTCACTTATACTTAAAATAAGAAATACTTAAGTAATGATAAAGAACAAGATAAAAGATTTATTTTAAACCGAAAGATTTTAGAATAATTTAATGACAAAATTTTAGTATTGAGAAAAATATTGAAATAAATTTTAATATTGCACTTTCCGAAATAATTTTTAGACAACAAAATTAAATATGAAATGAAAAAGAAATAAAAAAAATAGAACTTGAAAGTTAAATAATTAAAAATAAACAAATATTAAACAATCAAATTCTAAAATAATACAACAAAATTTTAAAACGACAAAACAGAAATATTTCTACAAATAAATAATTAAATCTAAGAAAACGTAAGAGATGTTAGATTCGAGTACATATTTATTCATATGATTTTAATAAATAAATTAATGTAGACGGTACAAATGTATGTCTTTGTCTATGCGTAAATGCGCTTACGTATACACAAACACATAGATGAATAATAGAACATAAGAGTAAGTGAGAAAGCATGTTGCACTCTGACCCAAGTAGAGGGACATGCAACATTTTTAGACAAATTTAAGAGAGAGGGTAAGGGCCCGAGAAAATAGACAAATAATTGGACATTTGTTTCCCCCAATGAGTGGAAATTAGTTACGCCCTAAAATTCGACACCTCGCAATTGTCACCAAAAAATCTCTCTCGTTGTCCTGACGTCCTAGTGTTAACATCGTACATAGTTTAAATAAGTCTCAATAGACCACGTGTAAATCTATTGTATAAAAAGTAAAACATTTGTAAAGGTAAAGTGAAACCAACTAAAATAAATTAAATCAACAAGGTTCATCAATTTTTTATCAGGTATATTTTAAATTATTAATATTTGTGAATTTGGTAATATTGTAAAATCGTTATATGAAAGAAAAGTTAACTTCAATCACTGTGTAATAATTGTAACTATTGTAAATTAACTAATGGTATTAATTTTGGATTTAAACAATATATGTATTAAAATTATTCAACTACATCAATTTATTCAAACAAACCCATCTTTCTCAATAAATTAAAACTCGGAAGTTCCCGGTCTATTAGCCTAACACGCTAGGACCAAATACATAAACACATTAAATATTTTAAATGTAAAATTAATTAATTACCCTAAATTAATATTTTTTAACATAACACTTTTATATTATTAAATTTCTTAAAGTTGTAAAAATCTTTTTCTAATGAAATATAATAAGTATTTTTTGGAGAAAAAACACAATGTTAAAAGATTTAGTAAAGATTTAATTAAGCTTAGTATAAATATTTATTTACAAAATAATAAATATAGGTAATGAAGATAGTAACTTATTTACAGTCAAATGATTTTTAAACATAAAAATAATTTTTTTTTTTTTTTATCATGTAGCTCAACACTGAAGAAGACAATAATATACATATTAACAGTGAGAGTCGTCAACAAATCAACGGCAATAAAATTAAAAATAGCCAAGAGGTGAAAAACAACAATGGCAATACAGTTCAACTTGTGCCCAACGCTCAAAAAAAAAATTTGGTGAGATAAAAAAAATTCATAATCTTCCTGTATTATAATCTTATAATCACAATGCTTAATTTCCTTGAAAAATCCTATATCATAAGTCTCAAGTTATTCATATATGTTAATGAATCGTTAAATTTCGAGATTAAACATAAATATTTAAAAAACGGATTAAATATATCAACATTTATTGCATCCATAGTGAGAGTTGGCTTGACAAAAATTTACAATCGGAGATTTAAAGTGACTCATTTAATTTAAAAATATACGTCACTCAATTTTGGTATTGTAATGGAGTGAAAGTTTAGTGTAAAACATGCATGTAGATATTGAAAATAGAAAAAAAAAGTTCGATAATATGGAACTTGAAATTTTCCTAGAACCTATAAGAACATCATATGTATAGTTTTCATATTCTATTAGCAACAAAAATCTTAATAATCATTTATTGTTACAGAAACAAATCAGAATAATTCAATCGTTGCCGTTACGAACAAACGAAATTAAATTATTGGAATTAGAACAATCACTATTAAAAGAAGAAAGAGATGAAATAAACAACAGATATTTGCATCAAGCTGAAATAATAAGAACGCTAAGGAAAAAAGAGCAAGATCTTAAAAATAAAACTGGAATTTCAGAAATCTCGGCGAATATTCAGCAGTATCTCGAAAACAGAACAAGTAATGTTAGTGAGCTGATAAAATCGCAGGCAGTGAAGACAACCGAAGAAAGATTACCGAATATAAGATCAGAAATTTCCGTTTCTAAGTCAAATGATTCAACTTCTAAAGCTAACATCCGACTGAAATCACTCGCATTTCAATTTTTTGTAATTTTCAATGCAAACTTGTCAGCGGATGTTTTCTTTTTTTGAAGTACTAGCACAATTTTCCACTTCTTTAAAATTGACAACCAATCTAAATCCTTACAAAACAAAAAATTTTCAAAATTTTTGAATGAAATAAATTATTATTTCACTTTATTAATGCTCCAAATAAAATTATCTTAACATTTATTTAAAAAAAAAAAATTATTCTGAAGAAAGTAATACATTTACATTTGATTTAATTAATGTAAAAATTAAAAATTTTATTAGATTTATATAAGTATGGGAATAATATTGCTTCAATAAAAATGTGTAAAAAGAGACGTTCACAACAAATTATAAATCATGTAAGTTAAACATTTTTCATTTCCAGTTGCTTTTTTCCAAATTTTTATGCATTCATTTTTTACTGTAGTACAGTAAAAAAATATGCCTGTGATTTTTGAATGTTCAAATATTCTTTAAAGGATGATTTTTTTCTTCGAGTTGATACCTTCAATCTCTGTAATTTAATTTTTCAATTTCTATCCAATATTTAGAAAAAGCTAGTTTAATTAAAATGCGTCCTCAATCTTACGGATCTGACTTCGTTTTCAAAAATTAAAAACATTCATGTAGCGACATCTCTTTAATTTTCAACTTATAATTTTGCAGTCGGTAAGAAGCCTATTCCTCTCTTCTGCGGTTTAAGCAAACACATACTATACATTTCCCCGTAAAAATTTTTTCTTTAGTATTTTTCTTTATTTATTCTTATTAATCATATTAATTGTTCATTAAATAATAGCAAACCTTTCCTAAATTCCCTAAAAATAATTCTTTTATTGATAAAGTACATCTACATTTTTTCATCTAGCGTTGCTTATCTCACGTTCTGGACTCGGGTCGTTTTTTTCGAAAAAACGACCCCGTCTCCGCGTTCAGAGCGACGG